GCACAGAGCTGTAACCAAAGTGTATCTTTGATGGTAAATATCACTATCTGAACTGCTGGCTTATATGAAGTGGAAATTCCAAGTAAAAGTGTGGCTAAAATTAATCATCTATTAATATGTCAGTTGACTAGGTAGAAGTGAAACTTTCAGGTATTCAGTAATAGAACATTCCAAATATGTATAAGGTTAACATTTTATTTCAAAATTCATTGTATTTTATATTCCTTTCTTTCTTTCCATCAAGCTTCTTAGTTTGAATGAGGTATATAACTTATTTCTAAAATCAAAGTATTTCAAATTACACGATGCATTTAAAATTGGGCTGAGGAGTAGATTTCATTTGCACAGTAAATTGAGAGTAAATCTGATTAACAACCTCTAATTAATCTGACTTGCAATTTACATATATATAAATCAATTACTTCTAAGTCAGCATTATATATCTGGTCAGCCGTTCATACCTTTGTCAGCTTTGGAAAGAACTTTGCCTGTGTGGGTAACAAACGCATCCTTTTACCTTGTCAGAATTAATTTTACAATTTCATGGCATTGACCTGGAATAATTTAAGAATTCATTTAGGTTAACCTATCTGATTTGCTTATTAAAATTAGTTTTTTGTAAAAGCTGTTTCCAAGATTGCTTTCCTCTTTGAACTGAAGGATAGGAATCCCGTTACCATAACTTTTTGTAACATTACATAATTTTGGTATAGATATAAATTGTAGAAGTGTTTCAGTTTCTTGGATTTTGAGTTTTTCTTTTTTTAAATCTATCAGATATTAAAGGAAGACTCGAATGCAATCTAAAATCTTTGCTGATTTTAATTACCAAGCAAGCTTGCATATACATTGGATGTCAATTAGGAATTTGCATCTATGGAATAAATTAGTCTTCTGAGATACTTAAATCAGACTAGCATGGGTTAAAATACTTAGTAAGAGTTTGTTCTTACCACTTTTGTAATCAATTTAAGATTCTGATAAAAGCTGTAAAGTAGCCTGCCTCAATTTCAAATTTTATTGTATATTTAAATATTTAAAATAAACACTACTTAAATATACTTGTGACTCATCTGCAAAACAGCAGTTTCAGTTGACTTATACAATTTTTTTACAATTTACACTATACAAATGAGCAGAAGAATTGAGACAAGCATATCTAATTTTATTATCATATATCTATTTGGCTTTGTCTTTTGTTAATGATGTGGCAACAATCAGTCTGACATAGTCATGATAAATCTGATTCTGTATTCAAATTTACATCCCCAGGTGGGGCCTGTGTTTGGAAAACTACAATTTCAGGTCTTCCTTAATACCTATGTTAGCATATTCAGTACTGCTATCCATTACTGTGGTATCAGTGCCCTTTGCATAAAAAACAGTAATGAAGCCCATACTAGACCTCAGTCCCTCTTCTCTGAAAATAAATGGGAACTTTTTTAAAAATGTGCTTGAACATACTCATGTTTGTTTAGTTAAATATTCTAGCGTTTAAGGTCTTATCTGCAGTAAGGATTTTCTTTTTGATTGAAGTAGGGTGTGAATTTAAAGGTGAATTAATATTCCTTACTAATTTCTCATGTGGATGCATTATGCCAAATACTGTCGACATAGGAGAGTCTAAATAACAAAGATGTTCAGAAGAGTACTCTGTATTAGATAAGGCCTCAGGTATTACAAGGGTTTAATGGTTTTCATCTTGATGAAAAATCTGTTTTAAGTTTGCCCCTAAAAAGAACTAGTTGTATTGTTTCTGAGTATCTAGTGCACTCTACATTGAACTAAACAGTTTTGGTAAAATAATACCAAAAATGGAAAGTACTCTTCATGAGTACAGAAACATGATATGTTTACCCTAGAGTAAAGTAAATTACTTTAGTCCAAATTGAACCAGACCCATGACTTACACCTGTGTAAAGTTATTAAGTCACTCTACTTCAGGATAAAGTTGCTCCTCAAAAAGTGAGTAACTCTATACCTGCATAAGTGATACCAGTCCAAGGGTTGTCTGTCTCTACTATCGCAGGCAGTTTCATCCCATGGTGCTCTTTTCGTAATGCTGACTGGCTCCCCTGCCATCTAGTGGTCAGATGCTGTAATATATCTATAATGACCACCTGATGTGACTAGGTAGTATCATTTTACTATTCAGCCATTTCAAAATAGGGCACAGCATTAAAGGCTGGATCCAGAAAAGGACATATGCATTCCAGGCCAAACACCTCCATTCAGATACTGCCCACCTTTGGAGGCACCTAGAGTCCATAGGCATGTCTAATATTCCTCACCTGGGTGCACATCCAGAGCTGCCCCAGTTATGACAGAGCTAAGCAGTACAGTATGCATGTCATGCCAAAAACCGGGTCATCCTTTTCCTGAATCTCCTGAGGTACTGAATGTGGTGGGTGTACTCTGAGAGTGCTCAACACACACAGCTGCTAAATGGATAAGGCCTAAGTTCCAGTCCATGTTTTCAGGACTATGCATATATTTTAAATTAAATAGTCACTGAATAAAATATATAAACAGGTGAAGAAGTAAGAACTGAAACCTTGGGCTACCATTTCCCAGCTGAGTGCCTTCACCAGCAGGCAACAGTTACACCTTTGGACTGATGAACCTTGCACAGTGATGCAGCTCAATAGAAGATGTGAAAGTTTGCCTTCTTGTGATTCAGAAGGGCTTATAAACCTGGTGGTTAGGGCAGTCCTGGGATAGGAGCTTGAATCTTCTCAGATTGAGGAAGGAATTGAATGCCAGTTTTTCATTTCTCTGGGTGCAAGTACTCTAATGGCTGCACACTTTTGAAAAGGGTTCTTGACTGTGTTAAAATATACACTGAGCCCTTTATGTTTCTGCGTAAGTGACAGCAATAGACACTTATTTGTAGGAGAGCGCTCTGGATTGTGGTTCCTATCTGTAGATGTGTACGCCTCTTATTTATTCTTGTCTTTCCATAAAGCTGTTGATGGTAAGGTTTTTACTTTAAAAGTTTGGTAAAGAATTTGACCAAGGACTAGTTATTTCAGAACACTATAGAAAACACGCACACTTCCAAAAAGGTTGTTAATCTGTGTGCTGTATTGCCTACAAAAGTTGGTGAGATACTAAAGCATGGGAATTGGGGAGTGGGGAGGCGGACTATACTCTCAAATCATTAAAGAATTAATATTTTAGAGAGATTGGGAGCAATAATTAATTTGAGCTGTTTCTGTTTAACAGAATGTCCAAAACAGATTAGTAATTAGTTGTGCTACTTGGTATTCTGTATTTTGAAGGGCACCTGAAGTATGAGGATGGAGATGGACCTTTCTCTGTGGCTGCAGGGAACAGGACTAGGAGAAATGGATTCAAACTGAAGCAGGGGAAATTTAAGTTTGATATTTGGAGAAACCTTCCGACTCTGAGAGTGGTCAGGTGTTGGAACAGGCTATCTGGAGAAATTGTGGAATCTCCATTCTTAGAAATTTTCAGAAGTGGGTTAAACAGACACTTGGCTGAGGTGGTTTATTTGGAGATGATCCTTCCTCTAGCAAGGGGCTGGACTAGATGACCTTATGAGGTCCCTTCCAGCCCTAGTTTCCTATGATTCCCATATTTTAAGATTTTGTTTTTATATAAAGCACCACTTGAGTGCTACAAGAATATTTATGTAAATGAAATGACAAAAATAATGTATTTAAGTTGCTTATAAAACAGAAATTTGTGAAATAGCCTTATGTCGTATGAAATTTTTTAAAATTGTCATTATGGGATTCCTTTATAAATGCTATCTTTAAAAGCTACTCTTGGTAAGATATTTTTAATGTCTGGCTGTAGGCAAAACGCATTGAAAATAAGCCTGAACCTGAAAATGTTTTAAGCAGAGATGCAGTTTAAAATCTTATTGAATTTTTAAAGGCTATCCCATTTTGGTGAATCAATAAAGGAAACTTGTGGAGTGTGGCATCAGATCTACAGATTTTATTTACCAAAAATAAAGCATCAGCATCAAATTTAGGGGAGTAAACACTAGTAATTTTGTTTTACAGTGTAAAGTTGTTTGGAGTTTCAGGACATTGAGTTTGTCTGTCTGTGAACACGTTAGAATTTTCACAAATAAAAAAATAGTGATGCTAATAAGGTTTTTTTAGGGGTATATCTGTGATAACTTTTAAATGTACAGTCCACTTGACTTCATACTGGAAACACTGATGGAGGATAGGTTGAAGTACTGCAGATTGACTAGTGGAAGTTCAGTATATAGAAAGGGCTGCTGATTTGCTGTATGTTTTATTTGTATATGGCAGTATTAAAGCAAAAATGGTGCTGAGATCTTAAAGTTGTCTGTATAAATTATCCTGTCTTGAGGCACAGGAACTAGATGACTTTGAAGTACATTTCTGCTGTATTTTTCTAGGATTGAGTTTGAAATTTTAGTACATTTTTCTTCTATGAATAATCTGAAATTTTGCAACAACAACAAAAATTGAGCAAAAAACCTCCACTTCAGCAACTTAAGACTGTTACATGAAATGAAAGGCCCCTCTTTGCTGGATACTATGGTGGCAAACAACAAGGGTACCCTGTCTTCTATAGAAAATAAATGTCCGGTGCAGAGACCTGTATCTGCTGTTATGAGGTTATTAAGGAGCATTAGAAGTGGGTATAACTTAAATTTCTTTCTAAGACCTAACCCATGGTCTTGTTATGCAATGTATTCCTTATCTCCTCCCTTCTCCTGTCCTTGCCACTAACATTGCTCTCACTGCTCCTTTTGCTTCTTTTTCTGTCATGCATGGAAGCAATCTCTGTTCCTTCCTGCTAGTGAGCAGGAACAGAAATTGTTCTGGGAATGAAGACTGTAATACACAAGATTTGGAAGGCTTCGTATTTTGGATACTAAAATCATACAAAGCTGAGCTGACTTATTTTGCTCGAACCACAAGTTTTGGGTCTCTGGTTATTTATATTTGAATAAATACTACAGTTTCATAAGAATGTGTATATATTTTTAATTTAAGGTACGCATAGCGGCAAAGTTCATCATTCATGCTCCTCCTGGGGAATTTAATGAGGTGTTCAATGGTAAGTAATTTTAAGCTTCTCCTTTGTGCTAGTTTCAATTGTCAATGAATTATAGATCTTTTGTATGATTAAGTTATTGGATATGACGTCTGCATTGCTTTTCTTTCCCTAGTATTTAAGTAACTTTTTTGTTACAAAAGTGTTATGAAATACTTTTCATAGCTTGGTTTTATTTGTCTCAAAATAATCTTAAACACCCAAGTTTTGCTGCCATTACTTGGTACAAAGACGTAAAGCTGCCTTTTTCCTAAGTTTGAGGAGGAGAGTTCACTTTGCCAATGTTGTATAATACTGACAGCAACTTAGTGTTTGATATAAAGCTGTGGTTCTTAACCTATTTTAGACTCAAGGCACACCTCATTCAGCTCAAGTCACCCCTCAGAAAATGTCAGGTCTTAGTTTTCACTTATTCTTTGACTACAGAAAAATACTGGAGCAGTTTTTCTGATGTGAAAACTCAAAAACCATACCAGTTCAGGGTGTTTAACATTGTCAGCTCCTATTTCAAATTTCTGGGTTTATCTTGTGAATCATGTTTGCACACCTAACAGTGCTAACGTTGTGTGGTATCCTGTGGCACCCTTGAAAAGATGTCAAGGCACGCTAGGATGCTATAGCAACCTGGTCAAGAATCACTGATATAAAGGTATAGTTCCAATTAACTACTTTTGTTTCAATATTTAGCTAAATCTCTTTGCTGTTTAGGCCTTTTTATTTAATTTGCATAGAGAACTGTCCTGGGTCTGCTATTCTTCAGTATAGCAAAAGCTTTGTTATCCGGCACCCATGGGGAGTCAGGGGTGCCGAATAATGAAATATGCCAGTTACCTGAGAGGCCGCCTCTCTTGTTGCATCCAGTGCATCGCCACTCCTTCTGCTGCAAGGGACAGGGAGGAGGGGCAGAAGAGCAAGGGGGAAAGAACTGTTATTGTGGGGGCTTGGCAACAGTCTTTTTTGCCCCACGCCGTGTGGGCTTGGCGAAACTGGAAGTGCCATGGTGGGCACTTACTGTTTCGCTTTCACCTTACAAGCCGCATGCCAGGTAATAGTGCATTCTGGCTTGTAAAGTGCCGGATAACACAACTTTTACTGTATATTCATTAATGACTTGGAAGATTGAATTGAGTATATATTTAAGTAAATTTGAGGATTAGGATTCAAAATTATCTTGATAATTGGGATAAAATGTAATAGGCACAAGAGCAAAGTACTGTACTTAGGACTGAACAATATAATATACAGATACAAAGTGTAGGAGAGCTAGGAGGCTGCTAGAGTGCAGAAGCAGACCTGGGGATTATGGTGAACAAGCCAAATATGAGTTAAAAGTTAAGCTTTGTCATAAGCGAGCTAATGGCATACTAGGATGCATTAATAGGAGTCTCACTTTCAAATCAAAGGAAGCAATTCTTCAAGTCTTTTTAGTTTTAGTGAGGCCTTGCTGCAGTAGCATATTCAACTTTGAGCATTGCATTTTGAGAAAGTTGTGTAAAAATTGGGAAGAGTCTAACTGGGAGTAACAACGTGATTATACTTTTAGGAAAACTTTATAAGAGAAACATTGGGATTATTATGGAGGGGAGGAATTTGATAGGTAGCTATAAAGAGGATTGCAATCATCCTTTCTCAGTATCCACAAGGAACAGGATAATAAATAATTAGGGGTGCATGAATAGAGAATTTCTGGGCTGATACCAATGGCTAATTTTTAACATGCCATATCGGTCGATACTGATCTGATTCCGATATACAGCCGGGAAGCATGGAGAGAGGCATCAGGCTGGTAAGTCTGTTGTGGAGGGCAGGAAGAGGCATGGTGAGGACAGATTGAGGCCCTCTCTGCAAGGGAGGGAGTTGGGCTGGAGCTGGGACTGAGGCAGGTGCTGCACAGCTGGGGCAGAGCATGGGAGGGAGCCATGAGCACTCATCTGGGGGTGGGGTGACTCCTGCCACTGCACGCACCACCCCAGGAGGGCCTGGGGGGGCATGTGCCCCTGGATCTCTGCAGGGCAAGGGTGGGCTGCCACTGTGGGTTGGGAATAGGGTGGTGTTGGGCTCTTCCCAGTAGGGGGCTGTGCTTGGGGCAGGCAGTGGCAGGACCAGCATGGGACTGCGGGCAGTTGTGACCACCCCAAAATTCACCATAGTCCCCCTCCCAGCATCGCTGCTGCTGCTACCTGCCCTAAGCGCAGCCCAGCTCAGCCCCCCTACCAGGAATTGCTTGGCACTGCCCACGGCAGCAGCCCACCCTCACCCTGCATGCAGATCTGGAGGCAAACGCTCCCAGGGTGTGTGTAGTGGCGAGAGCTGCACCCCCTAGATGAACCGCTTGCTGCTGTCCCCCTCTCTGCTCTGGCTGTCTAGCACCTGCCTCAGCCCCTGCCCTGCTCCCTGTCCCACTGCTGGGGCCTCGTTCCCCCCCCCCCCAACGGGCTTACCAGCTGGACCCTGGCTGCTCTCCATACTGACAGGCTGCATTCCTGGCTGTCTGTGTGCTGCACTGCAGCTGCGTGCATTCACAGGGCTTTTATTGGTGGCATTATTGCCTGGATCAGCCAAAAAAAGCTGATTGCCCATTTTTGTTATACTGGTGCTGATCCAATATGGGCCTGATGTGTTGGTGCACTTCTAGAAATAATGGGTTGAAATTGCAAGAGAGTTAGGCTGGATATTAGAAAGAATGTTCTAATTATGAGGGTAGTTATCTACTGGAACAGGCTGCCTAGGGAGATTGTGGAATTTCCCTCATTGGAAGTTCTTAAGTGCAGGGTACATAAACACTCGGCTGGGTAGCTTAGACAGGGATGTTTCCTGTGTTAAGCAGAGAGTTGGAACACATGATCTGAATTCCCTGCCAGTTTTGTGATTCTGTATCGGATGCGTTAACTATTTCAGCAACAGCTCTTCAGAGTTTCATTTACAGAATTAGATTTAACTTTGTGCAGAAGAGGGTGTAGGGGAGTTGGGT